ACTAGAAGTGACCCTTAGGCTGTAGCTTGTAAACCCGCATTACTTACACCCCAGGCCCAGACATCATGTGAAGTTCATTTTCACCCTGCTGTTAGAGTCCATCTGCTCCAGGCATGCCCCTCCTCAGTGTCTCACTGGTTTTATTGTTTCATTAATTTCTCAGAAAAAAAAATGGTTCACTGACTTGACTTGGTTTTTTAATTTTCATTTATGCCCTGAAAACTCACATAGAAATACTTAGTCAATTTACCTACCCCCAGAGGTTCTGGGAATTTCTGAGCAAAATTCCATCAACTTTCCTAGAGAGATCACAGAGGAACTTTTATTTATAAAGAAGGAGATGCTACAACTGGATTCCTGGGTTTCAAAGCATTGCTTAATAAACGTACCTGTATGTGATGTATATACGTACAAGAACGTGCCGAAGGACTTACACCGTTAACAACAGTGGTCACCTCTAGCGGGATCAGATCACAAGATGGGGACGGGGTGTGGGAGGAAGATCTGGTGGGCATTTCTTTAAAGATATTTTGATTATTTTTAGTTGTGTGCATGCATAGCTGTCTGATACCCACAGAGGATAGAGGTATTAGATACCCCCCCTGGATCTGGAGTTATGGGTGGTTGTCAGTTACCTGACCTGGGTGCTGAGAACTGAACTCTGGTTCTTTGGAAATGCAGCAAGTATTCTTAACCACAGAGCCATCTCTCCAAACCCTGGTGGGTATTTTTTAATATCTATGTTTTAAAACCATGTGAATACATTATCTGTTTAAAATAGGTTATCAGAGAATGAAAAAAAAAAAAAAACTAAAAAGAAGTCTTTCAACACAAAGGTAAAGGGTAGGACGTGACTGGGGTCTTAGGTATCTCAGACATGAGGCAGCAAACCCAGGGTTATCCTGGGGAATTCTGCCATAGTCTTAACTAGGTTCCTCCTGTTAGTGAGCTGTTAACATAGCTTCTGCTTTGGGTGACTTCGAGAACACCAGGGAGTGGCTCCACCCAGCAGAGGCAGAATCAGAGGCACAAAGTCCTCCTCCGTACCGTCATTTTTTCCTACGAGCGACAAGTCTTCATGGTTCCACGTGCCCTAATTTCTCGTTTTGGTATGCCTCCCGTCTACACACTCTGCGGCCACTCCAAGCTGTCTTGGGACTTTTGTCTTCAAATGAGCTTTAATTTTTTAGAAAAGAAACTTTTTGTTGGCTTTACTTTGAACTCTGACCCTTTGTCTTGTATGGCTTCCACAACCCAACTCCTTGAGCTGTTAGGAATGAGTTTATTTCTCACTGCTTAATCATGTATACGTCAGATTTTACCTCCACTCCTCCATTAACTCCTGTTTTCTATAAAATCCTCGCTGATGCCTCTCAGTCACCACCTGTCATCTTCTCTCTACTTCTTAGGTCATTCAAGTCTGTGTGGTTTGAAGGATACCACAGATGGAGCTTGAAGCCCAGCTCTGACTTATCTAGCCATGGAAAAAGAGATTTCATCTCTCTAAACTCAGTTTTCTGCACTTTAAAGTGGGTACTCACCCATCTGACAATCTTTACTGAGAACCTACTATGTACCAGTGATTATGACATGATATCCATTGGCAAACTAAACAGATAAGTATTCCTGGCTTCACAGAGCTCCCATGACAGAAAAGGGAGCCAGATCAAAACAAACAGGCTATGGAAGAAAAATATATAAAATAGCAAAATGGAACAAGAGCTACAAAGAAGAAAAGGGTTGTGTCTTGTACAAGATGGGCAGGGCAGGGTGGGCCTCTCTGAGAAAATAACTTTTGAACAGAGACCAATCAGAAGAGACAGAGGCATTACAAGTATGACATCGGAGGGAGAGGGAGAGAGTACGGGCAGAGAAACTGAAAACCATCCTAAAGGCAGGAACAAGCCCCAAGTTTTCTGGGGACAAGAAGGGACGTAAAGGTGGAATGGCATTGGCCTCGGAAAAGGCAGCTGGAAACAGTCAGAGAGGAAGCCAGAGAGCGGTCCACAGGGGGTCCAAACACACTGTCGCTGGGCTTCGAGTGGAGGAGTGATGTCACTTTATTCTGAAAGGAATGACTCTGCCGCTGTGGGGACAGCCTGCGCTGGGACCCAAAAGCAGCAAAGACCAGTTAGGAGGCCACACGCAGCCCAGCAGCAGCTCTGCTGGAAAAACACTTGATCTTGAGCCTTCACCTCATATAACCCAGCTCCAGTCAGCTTTTCCACATCCGTTAGGATACTCCCTCTTAAAATCTTTATAATATACTCAGTATCGATGCATCTAAAAAAAAAAAAAATACCTGCCCCACCTCCACCTCAAACCAGTTATCCAGCCAAAAAGTTCCATTTATTAAAGATACACCAGTCCCCAGATGCTAAACATTTGGCCTTTTCGGTTAGAATTATGAAATCAAAGCATACTATCACTGGAAGTTGGTATCATGGTATCAGATTGTGCAAACACTTCTCTTTTTTAAAAGAAGAAACAAGGATCTGATTGCAGCAAAAAGCTGGGTGTGGTGGCACAGGCCCTTAATCCCAGCCCTCAGGGAGCAGAGGCGGGTGGATCTCTGTGTGATTGAGGCCAGCCTACTCTACATAGTGAGTTCCAGACCAGCTGGGACTACAGGGAGACCCTGTCTCAAAAAAAATAAAAAAATAAAAATAAAAAACAGAATGGAGCAAAACTGAGCTGGCCATGCCAGGCCTTAATGATGGAGACAGGTCTACAAGCAGTTTCCTGACCCACCCACTTCTTTGACAACATTCCCTTTCTCAACACAGTCCCTCGTCACAACAGTCCCTCGTCACTTCCACTGCTGGCAGGGTCATGGCTTCTGTTATTGCTGACCCACCTTCCAGAAAGGCTCCTGGGTACCAGGGCTCGTACTGCTCGAGGGCGTCTGGCTCTGAATTCAAGTCTTGACTTTGGACTTCCTGGCTCTGAGAATTTGAGCACATTTCCTTACTACAGTCTGCCTTAATTTATTCATGTGAAAAATTCCTATCTCCTAAGATGCAAGTAAAGCAAGACATGTAAAGTACTTATACAGACAGAGACACGATATAGGAGGTCAAAAGTCATTAATTATTAGGGGTTGGATGTACGACTCTCATTCAGTTTTAATGGCCCTAGTATGGTCTTCAGAGCCTGACAGCAGCCAGGTTTATCATAGGTGTGCAAGCTTTTGGTGATTTCTGACCATGGACCTTTCAGTTAAGATGCTGTCTTTGAACCCCACATCCGTGTTCATTCCCACCCGACCCCTGTATCTTAGCGTATGGTCTCTATACGTCTACCTGTCTAAATCCTGCATGTCATCCATTTAGTACTTCATGAGGATTTCAATCCATACTACATCTTCTCTACCTACTGTATATACCCTATTGTACAGCCTACTGTATACAGCATGTACATGCAGAACATATCCATATTGATCATGTCCTTAGGGACAGACATGAAGACATTTTGTCAGTAGTGGACTCTAGAGAAGACTCAGTCTCTCTCGGCCTCAGTTTCTTCATCTATAGTTGCCCCAGTTAATCCACATCCTAATATTAACCCCTTTGGGAATTACTATTAGGATTGTGGTAAGGATTGGATACATACATACTTGATATATATTAACAACTATTAAAGTTACCACCATATATGTATTCTAACTTTATTTTATACACTTGACTTTTCTTTCTCCTGGTTATTCTGTCCATATGCACTATGTGCCTAGCCTAATGCTGGTCCCAGAACAGTGTTTGCAATAAATAGATGTAAATAGATAGCCAGACATTGGTGGCGCACACCTTCAATTCCAGCACTTGGGGGGCAGAGGCAGACGGATCTCTGAGAGTTTGAAGGCCGCCTGGTCCACGCTGATATTCTCTATTAAGCCTGGGTGGCTCTGACACTCTTTGTTCTCTGCTCCTGTGACATTCTCCCTGTGATAGACCAGTCTCTCTCCAGATGCAGCAGTAAAAGTGGGTAAGGAATCAGAAAACAGGCTTATACCTCAGCTTTCTGAGCACAAGCAGGAGTCAGTCAGTCAGTCTGTCTGTCAATGCCAGTTTTACTTGGGGAAAATAACAGACTCACAGAACCCGTTTCCATCGCTATAAAGGAAGGATGGTCAGCTATGAGCTCCTGCTCTTTGCATACAGGCTGAGAATCAGCTTTTAAATGCATCTGGAAGAGTTTTACATATAGTGACGTGCTGTACAAATGATTCAAAGCATGCTCATTGATACAGCATTGAAAAGAAAGAATAATAACGATCAAATTGCTGGATTGATTTCCAACAGAGCTCTGGAGAAAGTTAATCTTTTTGGTCTAGATATGCTCTTAATGAATAAAATCATAATCTAGACATCATGGAGTTCAGACAGGAATTCGGGTGTCGTCTTCAAAGATGCCATCACATCAAATAATTCCTTCCAAAAGTAAAGATTTACCCAAAATTAAATTCCCTTTCCTATGAGTGGTGAATGGGAGAAGTAGCATAGAACTAGCCAGACAGCCCCAAAAGGAGGAGGAATTAAGAAAAAAAGAGGGCTAATCAATCAGAAATGTGTGGTGTATTTCAACAGGACAGAATTAGAACAGCATGAATTAGCACGAGTTGTTCTGGGGCTGAGAAAAAAAACAGGTCAAAAAGGGCTGGTGGTCCCTATAACCCTCTTTCATGTATTTCTGAGGCCCATGTGTGTATGTACCTACTGTTCTGATTTATTCTGCATTATATCAGTGTACCATTGAACAGGAATCCTCGACACGTTGAGCAATATCAACAGAATTCTCTACTAACCACCTGACAGCATTAAGGGTGGGTCCTGGGGCTGTCACAATGTAGTGATCTTGGTAGTTTTTCCTTCTTTCTCTGAAGAATCAGTTAGGAGTATCAAAAATGGTTAGCACATTTGATAATGGAGTAGGGAAGAGTTGAACTTTCTCAGCAGAACTTCCAAAAATCAGGTAAGAAATCATTCCGGTCAAAACCGCCTTACCTCTATTTTTTCCCATATGGCTTCATAGTCCTCTTGGTGTTGGATATCTTGCATCAGCTTCCGAATTAAAGCAGCTTTTGTGGCAGAATGCCTCTCGTTCTCAGATGAGGAGGGTCTCTCTGATTTCTCATCAATGTATTTTCTCGTGCCAGAGGGAGGCATGCACAACTCCTCATCAGAGAGAATGTCACTCGGGGGGCCAGACTCGACGCTCTCCCCTAGGGAGGAGGCTATGTCGCTGGATGAGCTTGGAGACGCTCTGCCTAGCCTCGTACGTTTTTTCCTGACATGGTACGTTGTTGGATAGATCTCAGAATCTGAATTCATTTCGGACAGTTCCCAGTCATCGATATTCTGAATGGTCTCCCCTCTGGGTCTCTGAGGCAGAAGCTTTGTTAGGTTTTCCAGCTTCAAAGCCAACACCTCGGTCTGTTTGAGCTGAGACGGCAGCGCCAGGTACTCGTCGGAGCCGTACCAGGCCTCCACCACCTGCCCGGTCCGGGTTACGCGGCTTGGAGCGGAGTAACCTCCTTTGCGTTCGTGGTTTGGAAGAAGAGGGACTAGGGCTGCGGTGTCTGCTGAGCCCACAGAGGATTCGCCGTCGTCAGTGAAGGATGGTGAACAGGAGGGGTCTGGCCGCGCTGGCCCCTGCCCATCCTGGCCGGTCTGGCCGCGCCGCCCCGCTGGGGATGCGGATGCTGAAGATGAGGGTGCTGAGGATGCGGATGCTGAGGATGCGGGTGCTGGGGATGCGGATGCTGAGGATGCGGGTGCTGGGGATGCGGGTGCTGGGGATGCGGG